GGGAACTTGGAGGTCTTCTAGTCCAACCACTTGCTCAAGGCAGGAGACCTTATACCCGTGATGGCGAACCTATGGCACGCGTGCCAGAGGTGGCACGTGGTGTCCTCTCTGATGGCACATGGGCCATCACTCCAGTTCAGCTTCGCCGCGCATGCGCACACACCTCCTGCCAGCCAGCTGGTCTTTGGGTCTCTGTCGTGCATGTGCGGGCGGGCGGGTGCATGCAGGGGACCTCGTGCGCAAGTGCCGGGAGTGGGATGCATGTGGGGGCTGCGCACGCATGTGTGGGGTGGGGCATGTGTATGGGGGGCATGCACACGTGTGGGGGTGGGGCACATGCACGGGGGCCGCACATTGTATTTTGGGGGTTGGGGGTGGGGCGTGCTTTGGGCACTCGGTCCAGAAAAGGTTAGCCATCACTGCCTTATACCATCCTGGGCAAATGGTTGTCCAGTCTATTGTTGAAATCCTCCAACATTGGAGCATCTACAACTCCAGTAGACTTTCAGCACATTTATTTATTTATTTATTTATATTTCTATACCGCCCTTCTCCTGCGGGACTCAGGGTGGTGAATGCATGCACATGATTTGTGTGCAGCTGTTTGCTTTATTCAAAATAAGACAATTGGATGTTAAAGAAACCTGATCAACAATGAGAACAGTTGGATAATGGCATCTCTCCTTCATTAGCAAGAAGTTATTTCTCAGTTGCTGTGCCTATTAATGGCAGTTGGAATGGACAAGCAAATAAGCCAATCAGAAAGCGGCTAATGGGTTTGAAACTCCCTGGATTTTATATTCCCTCCCCTAACTGTCACTGTGACAGTATAAAAGGAGATTCCCGACAGAAAAACTATTATCAGTTAGTAGTCAGTTAGTTGTCAGTTAAAGGGCAGTTCTGCAGTCAGTATGCAGTTTAAAGGCAATTCTGAAGACAGTTAGTCATCAGTAAGGAGAGTTAAGATTAGAGATCAGAGGTAGATCTGATGTATTAAAAGACTCCTGAGGAAGAATAGCCAGAACTATAATCACATAGAGTGATTACATATATATATATATATATATATATATATATATATATATATATATATATATATATATATATATATATATATATATATATATATATATATGACAGAATATTTAAGAAAAGGAATGGCATACTATTTACTATTTGAATAGATATTGTTTTTATTATTATGTAAATAAAAACAGTTTATTGTGAACTGCTAGTAAGTCTCATTTGTTATAGTAGATTGTTATAGAGAGAAGGTTTTATGGTACATTCATTTAACCTCCACAACACAAGGCAGACACTGAATATCAATTCCTGCAGCGAGCAGAGAAGTTACTTCATAGATTCAATGCCCCCCTTCTTCCTCTGTGATTCTAACACTTTCAGAAGAAACTAAAACCTGAATTTACGCAACATTTACACTCTTACAATCAGCTGGGGAGGGATTAATTATCGAGAGCAAAGAACTGAGCCTCCCTTACTTTGTTAGTGTAATAAGAAAGAACATGGAAAAATATTAACAATTGCATTTCCATCCAGAAGGGAACAATAATCTTCGTGCAATCATTAACTACTCTTACCCATCCTTCAATAGCTCAAGGAGGGACATCTTGACCTGCTGATTGTTTTTTTTTTTAAAAAAAGCATGCACATTAATTTAGATTGTTTGCTGAAAACAAAAGGCAAATTAGTAATCCAGTAAAGAACTCATAATGCACTTGAGTTAATTGGCAGCACTTGAAGAAATGTTTATCGAGTAGCCAAATGAAGTGGCCTGCTGTAATCGTCTGATCAAAAGGATAATAATTTGTTTTCTCAGATGCTGGATGGCAAGCATCAAATTTGGGTAGCTTGACATGATAAGGAGGTGAGGATAGGGTTGACTTACAATGCATTGTAGAGAGAAAGAAGGACCTCTTCATTTTTTCTCCCAAAGGTGCTTTTTTAAAAGGCAACTGGACTTTGTTTTTCCTTGAAGACCTTTTGCTTCTCATCCAAGAAGCTTCTTCAGTTCTGACTGAATGGTAGAGGGTGGAAGGATTAAGTTCTGGAAAAAAAAATCCTCTCCTATGAATTAATTGTGCCCTCCTGCCTTAACAGTTTTCATGTTAACAATCCAGTAGAAATCTGATAGCCCATTTCCAAATCCTGGTGTCTCCCTTTTGAGTAGGGGATAGAATTTCTAACATTTCCAACCCATCTACAGTAGTGGCCAAAATTGTGGAAACCTTTTGGGGAAAGGGTATTTTTGAGGTTTGATGGCTAATAGCACCACTTTTTTTCCCTGGAGTTTCAAGATAATCACATTCCACTGCTGGAATGGTCTTGGAATAGCCCAGACCTTAACCCAATTGAAAATCGATGGAGCCGACTAAAGAAACGTGTTAGTCAGAAGCGACCCAGCAATTAAACCCAGTTAATAGAAGCCATCATTCAATCTTGGTTTCACATGATAACAGCTGCAGAACTAAAAGACTTGGTTCATTCCATGGGAAGATGTTGTAAGGCCGTAATTCATGCTAAAGGTTACCCAATATTAACTGACATGGGGATAATTTTTGTATATCTCGTTTTTTTCTACTTTCACTTTTCTTCTTTATACTGTAACTGCTATTCTAATAGCACATCCTTCATAAAAGTTATTACATTCTTGATTAAATTAAATTATGTTTCCATTGATATATAATTTTATGGTACTACTAAAAAAAAAAAAAGTGGTGTTATTGGTTAGTTTTAGAAAATACACTTTTCCCAAAAGATTTCCACAATTTTGGCCACTACTGTAATTTTTTAAAAATTAGGGCTGTAGAATAGGCCTGATTGAAGAAGATCTGTGTTTAAGGCTCATATCAACATGCAAGCAGACATGCTTAAAACTCCCTGCATCTTTTTCCTTCAAAGTGTTTCACCCCCCTCCTTTCTCTAGTCCTCATTTAAATGTGTAGCTAGAAGTGGGAGATTATTTTCACGATTTTTGTCTTTTGAGTGGCAGTGGCCGTAATGGGTGATATCTGTTGCTTTAGGTTCCTCATTCATCTCTCATTGGTTTAATTTATTACATTCTTGAACTAGAGTAGTTAATGATATTTGAAGTATTTGATGATAGTTGAGGGGTGATAAGAGTAGCAGTCTTTTAATACTTGTGGGACAGTCACAAAGAGGAAGGGATTGGCTCATTCTCAGAGGTGGGTTTCAAAAATTTTAGCAAGGAGTTCTCTGCCCGGTTGCTGGGCGGGCGTGACCATGGTGGGCGTGCTATAGTCGGCCTCCTGCACCATGAATGGGTGGGGGGGGCATTTTTTCCCTCCCCGGGCTCCGGAGGCTTTCTTTGAGCCTCCAGGAGGGCAAAAACAGCCTCCCCAGGCTCCAGAGGTCCTCTGGAGGCTGGAAACGGCTTGTTTCCGGCCTTCCCAAACTTCTGGTAGGCCTGTTTTTCACCCTCCACAAGCCTCCATGCTCGCCCTGCACTTCCCTGCATCCAAAACGGGCCGCGTGGGGACTCCTGGGAGGGGCAGGGAGGGGTGGGCGGGGTGGGGTGAGGCCAGCCAGGAGTGGGGGTTCTCCGAACTGCACAGAATCTTAGCTAGAGGTTCTCCTAAACCCCTATGAACCCCCAGCAGCCCACCGCTGCTTATTCTCCAAAGCACCTGAAGGCAGGACAAAAAGCAACAGATGGACACTGATCAAGGAGAGATCCAACCTAGAAATTAAGGATAATTTCCTGACACTGAGAACAATTAATCAGTTGAAAAGCTTGCCTTCAGAGATTCTGGATGCTCCACCACTGGAGACTTTTTAAGTAGAGATTGGACAGCCATTTATCTAAAATGGTATAGAGTCTTCAGCCATGGTCCTCCCTTCCAACCTTATTATTCTACATTCTATGTTTTTTTTTCCTGTTTACATTTAGATTTGTGTGCATTTTTTATTACCTATTTCTTCACTCACACTATGTTGGTCTAAGACTGTAGTGGAGATTTGAAATGATTTGATTTGAGCTTCATTCATACACATTTTATTTCCTTTGCAATTTTGTCTTGTGGTCGTCGTTTTTGTGACAATTGTACCTAATATAATTTCTGCAAATTACTTATGTGCACAGTGTACATTATGTGCACTTTGGCGCAGACATTCTAATAGATTTGCTTTTAAACCTGACAAATTGCACAGCAAAACTCAGAAAATTGTTGTTTTTTTTTAATAGATAACTGAATTTAAGTTTGTGTAGCGGCTCAAAAACACAACACAAGAAGCTTGCATTACATTCCTCCTGTCCTCCCCCACCCCATTCCTCATAAGAGATTATTTCATGTCAAAACATCTAAAGAAAAAACCACTGAATTTTCCTGACTGGATGAAAAGAAAATAAAGCAATCAGTGAAAGGATGGAAATTCAAGTGGAATATATTAACACCTGGATCTGCTATCAAATCCAGGAATGAGATAAAGCGATGGCATTTGGCAGCATCTTAAGGCAAAGCATGGAAGGATGGTTTTTCAACTTTTAAGAAGGAAAATTCCAGTTAAGTATTAAGAACCCGTCCCTCCTAATAAGAGTAATTAGGTAGTAGACACAATAATTAAGGTTAGGTTCCTGGCAGCTCAATCATGGATATTTGAATCTGAAGAATTGGGCTTGATGGTCTCAGTGTGTCCCTATCTAATTCAATGATTCTATGTTGCTTTGGAATCTCTTTTTACCAATCCCTGAAGCACTTTGAAATTGAATACAAGCTGTCCATGTTCCCAGAAGTAAATTAATAATGCACAAAAAGAACTTCCAACTTTCTTCAACCCCTTCCTTGCAATAATGACTGTAGCAGTGCTATTCAACCTGGAAAATTAAGTCACTGGGCTCAAAGTCAAAAGAAGATTGCTCACCTTAATCCAGCAACTAGGGAGGGAAAAAATTGCTCCATCGCCTTCTAAAAGCTGAGTCCCATTTCTTCCTGCTTGGAATTAAAATGAGATGCACACTCCGCTTTGCACTCCCAAAAGATGTTTATTTAGAGTAACACTCCGAGAGACGTTTATTTTGAGACTAACAATTTCTTTGGCTTCCAAAGAAGGGAACCTGCGCACTGTGTTGAATGCATCATTTATTTATTTTATTTTATTAGTCATATTTCTATGCCGCCCACGCTCCGAGGACTCTGGGAGGCTTACACCAAAGACAGTATACTAAATAGCATATTACCCCCAACAATCTGGGTCCTCATTTTACCCACCTCGGAAGGATGGAAGGCTGAGTCAACCTTGAGCCGGTGAGATTTGATCCGCTGATCAGCTGAAGTAGCTGCAGTACTGCACTCTAACCACTGCACCACCTCTACTCATCACCCAGGGTCCCTTCAACGCAACAGGTTAAGCAGCCCCAAGGGGCACTTCATTAAAAAATGAAGCAAGGTGATGTTCTACTCGAATCCTCATGCTTGAAGGACACAGTATTAGGATTGTACAAGAAAATCTCAACCTGACTTATGTAGGCATCTAGTAAATGAAGCAAGGTAGCTCAGAAACTAGATGTGCTACCCAACAAAGTGAAGAGCTTATGATGGCTTTGCTAAAAAAAGCACAGGGAAGAATTCTACCTTCGACAGGTATTAGAGTGGCTGTTTCACATAACCCCCTACATCTTTTCCAGGGTCATTTCAGCCCGCGCAATCTCCCCATTGGAATTATCTGGGTCATGAGAAGCTGTTTAGAAGCTACCAAAACCTAAACTAATGTAGACTATAAAGCAGCAAGACACGAAAATGGAAACTTTTTCATACATCAAATCAAAGAAACCCCAATTTTTCTAGTATGGCAGCCAAGTCATGAAGTTTCAGGTGTACAAGGACTGGGTTCATACCTTAAGCTGAACTAGGGTTTGTTTAGTGCATAGTTGTTTTGAATACACCATGATTGTCTAGATCAGTGTTTCTCAACCTTGGAAGCTTGAAGATGGGTGGACTTCAACTCCCAGAATCCCCCAGCCAGCGCTGCTGGAGGAAATGGAGGAAATAGAGAGAACTACCATATTGCATTCGTGACAGTTCTTTGGATCATCCCTCAGCATGGATAGTGAGAAGAGGACACCCAGCAGCGACTCTAGAAACGGCAGAGGAAACAGGTTGACCCAATCTCTCTGCAAAGCAGGGGTGAAATCCAGCAGTTTCTGACAGGTTCTGGCGAACCGGTAGCGGAAATTTTGAGCAGTTCGGAGAACCGGCTAATTCCACCTTTGGCTGGCCCCAGAGTGGGGTTGGGAATGGAGACTTTGCAGTATCCTTCCCCTGGAGTGGAGTGGGAATGGAGATTTTGCAATATCCTTCCCCTGCCACGCCCACCAAGCCATACCACGCCCACCAAGCCACGCCCACAGAACCGGTAGTAAAAAAAATTGGGATTTCACCACTGCTGCAAAGCCTACCTGGGCAATCGATTTCATGGTAGCAAAGTTAATGGGGAGTGGGTGATGGTGATGGATGAAGACATACAAATCCCTGAGAGACCTGGGCCGCTGACAGCATTATTTACCAAAAGACTGGGCTCCAACCATTCAGATAACATAAATACGGATTGTACTGATAGGTGTGGTATACAGAAAGTGCTAGAGTAGCCCTAGAGAAATGGTTCTCCCTGAAGGCTGGGAGAGGTGAGTTCTTCTCAAGTTCTCCAAGCTCAGAGGCCAGTTGTTTCCTCTTGGTCTTATATCTTCTGTTCTGGAACCAGATCTTCACTTGGGTTTCGGTGAGCTTCAGGTTCTTGGCGAGGTGGGCTCGTTCAGGGGCAGAGAGATATTTCTGGTGGCTGAACTTCCGTTCGAGCTCAATGACCTGGCTGTGGGAGAAGGCCGCCCGCGAACGCTTCAACTGTTTGGGTGTCCTCATGAAGGGTTTGGAGGAAGGCTCACAGTTTGGCTGATGGACGTCTGGATCTAGCAGGCGGAGAAAAAGGTGGATATAACTTCAACAATGGCTCTTCAGAAGAGGACAGACAGTTTCACTTGACATCACTCAAGAAGATAAGATGGAATAAATAAACATATGAATACTGAAGTTGCACCTTGCCTAAAGGGAAAGGGAAAGGGAAAGGTTCCTCTCGCACATATGTGCTAGTCTTTCCCGACTCTAGGGAGCAGTGCTCATCGCCGTTTCAAAATCGAAGAGCCTGCGCTGTCCGAAGACGTCTCCGTGGTCATGTGGCCGGCCTGACTCAACCTCAAAGGCGCACGGAACACTGTTACCTTCCCACCAAAGGTGGTCCCTATTTTTCTACTTGCATTTTTTATGTGCTTTTGAACTGCTAGGTTGGCAGAAGCTGGGACAAGTAACGGGAGCTCACCCCGTTACACGGCACTAGGGATTTGAACCGCTGAACTGCCAACCTTTCAGTCGACAAGCTCAGCATCTTAGACACTGAGCTACCACATCCCTTGCATGCCATACCATAATTCTGTTGGTTTAATTTAGCATGTTGGCCAACCCACTCAAAGGGGTTTCATTGAGTAGCCAACCGTGGTTAGGCTATACTAGTGCAAAGTGAATACTAAGTCATGAATAAAAACACTACTGTTTGATACACACTGCGGGAAAGTGTGTAGAAAAATCCTTGCCTTCTGCTCTACTGTTCTATAGGTCTTTTACAAAATATATGTATAGGTTTCTCACATTATTAGTTTGAATAACACTAGCACTTCTATGCTATCTGGTGGCAATTGTATGAGATGAAGTTGCTAAATCATAGACCCATGATGGCAAACTTATGGCACACGTGCCACAAGTTGCACGCAGAGCCCTCTCTGCAGGCACGCCAGCCGTCGCCCCAGTCCAGCTCCACCACGCATTGGTGCGCACCTCCCACCAGCCAGCTGGTCTTCGGGTCTCTGCCGCGCAGGGTGAGGGCTTCACTGATCTCTGCAGTTCCCCCCCCAGAGCGCCCTACCTTTCTCCTCCCAGCGTGCTCTAGCTTTCTCTTGCATTCCTGCCACCCATGCCTTCCGCGATCTGCGCAGTTTCTCCTCCGCATGCCCAGGCTTTCTCCTCCATTCCTGCCTCCCGTGCCTTCCCTGATTTCTGCAGATTCCACCCTCTGCAGGTGCCTCTCCATGGCAGAAATGGAGGAGAAAGCCTGGGCGCACCGGAGGAAGAAACTATGCAGATTGGGGAAGGCACGGGAGGCAGGAATGGTGGAGAAAGCCTGGGGCCGCGGGACGGGGGGGAGAGAACCTGTGCAGATCGTGAGGCCCCCCCTGCGTCCCGTTTTGGGCCTGAAAAGCCTACTGCACCAACCTAGAAGCCACAACGGGGGCCGGGTGGGGCTAGGGTGCATGCGTAGGGGGTACATACGCAGGGAACACACACACATGCATGGCGTGTATACACGGGGATGGTTGCATTGCATTTTGGGGATTGGGGCACGCAGAAATAATGAAAAAAATTCTGACAATTGATCAGTGGAATACCTTGCCTATCAGAGTTGTAGGTACTCTATCACTGGAGGTTTTCAAAAATAGACGTCACAACCATTTGAGGTCTTTTCCAGCCGTATGATTCTAAGTACTATGCAGGGGTGGGCTTTAAAATTTTTAGCACGGGGTTCTCTGCCCGGTTGCTGGGCGGGCGTGGCCATCGTAGGCATGGCCTAGTCTGCTTCCTGCACCACGGCGGGGGTGGGGTGGGGCTTTTTTGCCCTCCCTGGGCTCTGGAGGCTTTCCTCAAGCCTCCGGGAAGGCGAAAACAGCCTCCTCAGGCTGCGGAGGCCCTCTGGAGGCCAAAAATGGGTCCAAACATCCGGTAGGCCTGTTTTTAGCCCTCCCCGAGCCTCCGTGTGTGCCCGTGCAGGCATTTGTGTGTGTGTGCCTGGCCTAACTCTCCTTTTTTAAATTTTTAATTCATTTGATTTTATAAATTGGGTGTTTTAATCTGTGTTTCGGCCAAAATATTTAATAATTTTAAGGGACTTTTAATATTTGTATTATCTGTATTTTATCTTGGCTGTTCACCGCCCTGAGTCCTCCGGGAGTAGGGCGGTATAGAAATTTGATTAATAAATAAATAATAATAAATAAATAAATTTACCTGCATCCAAAATTGGCCGCGTGGGGACTCCTGGGAGGTTGGGGCGGGCAGGGCCAGCCAGGAGTGGGATTTGGGGGTTCTCCGAACTGCACAGAATCTTAGCTAGAGGTTAGCTAGCTAAACAGCCCACCCTGGTTCTTTATCACTAAACCATGGCTCACACGTACAATTATAACGTTGATCAGGATCTTGCAAATCTTGTAAACAAGGTTGGGCAGTTAATGGTTGGACAAGAAGCCATCAGAAAATCTCAGGCCTGTGGGTTAGTTTGCAAAAATACAAAAAAAAAAAAAAATGGTTCTGCAAAGAAAACTCCGCGGCGATGCCCATGAATTTGACAGGAGTTGGACTCACAACACACAGCGTTTTTATCTCGACATGGACATTTATTTAACTTTCTTTGATAGATTCCTTTTCCATGACTTTTAGCAACTTCATCTCATACAATCACACCAGGTAAGTACTGTATGATATTAATGCTAGAATGATTCAAATTGAAAAGATGGAAAAATATTTATGACTTATACCTATATTTTGTAAAATCTCTATGGAGCAGTAGATAAGCATTTGTTTGCAAAGTTTACTAGCGGATCTTTTGCTGTTTTTTTTTTTTTTTAATTTTAATATGGAGAACAATTTGGCAAATAGTTTCCATAAATGCAGTTTGAAGTCTACCAGCATTGGCCTCCATCCCATCACTTTTGTATGAACGTATTTAATTTATATAGCTGACTATCTCAAGACATCGTCAACCAACAGTCATAAAAGAATTCAAACTGTTAAAACTCAATACAACAACAACAACAAAAAAGAAAGTAAATACAAATAGCAACCAAGATAGTATTAATTAAAGGAAAGTGAAACATCTACAATTTTTTTGACCACAGAGGATTCTTTAGATTTGGGCATGCATCCTACAAGTTGACCACTTCATAATGGGACCCTTTTCTCCAAAGACAGCACAAAGGCTCTTCTGGATGTATTTATTATCCCCAACACAAAAAAAATCTACAATTTTTTGACCACAGAAGATTCTTTAGATCTGGGCATGAATCCTACAAGTTGACCACTTCATAATGGGACCCTTTTCTCCAAAGAGAGCACAACGGCTCTTCTGGACATATTTATCATCCTCAACACAAAAAAAATCTACAATTTTTTGACCACAGAAGATTCTTTAGATCTGGGAATGCATCCTACAAGTTGACCACTTCATAATGGGACCCTTTTCTCCAAAGAGAGCACAACGGCTCTTCTGGACATATTTATCATCCCCAACACGCAAACCCTACAAGAGATGCTGAGAAATAAGAAGTCACTTCAATTTGTCCACCAATCATGAACAGAGTCTGAACACAACTTCCTCTATTTCTTTTCTAAGGCTCTAAGGGTGACAAATAGCACTGTTCCAATATCTCAGGGGCTGCCACAGAGAAGAGAGGGTCAACTTATTCTCCAAAGCACCTAAAGGCAGGACAAGAAGCAATGGATGGAAACTAATTATGGAGAGGGCCAACCTAGAAATGAGAGATTTCCTGACAGTGACAGCAATTAAGCAGTGGAACAAAAACATTCAGAGAACCTGAATACCTAAAACTTAGTGCCTCGTGCAAAAGTGGCTTCTATGTTGTATAGAACAGGGGTCTCCAACCTTGGCAACTTTAAGACAGGTGGTTTTTAAGAAGGGACTGGACAACCATTTGTCTGACATGGTATATAAGGTGTCCTATTCAAGTGGAGGTTGGACTAGAAGATCTCCAAGGTTCCTTCCAACTCCATCATTCTATTATCTGATGTTCTACACCAGGGGTCTCCAACCTTGGCAACTTTAAGACTTGTGGACTTCAACTCCCAGAGTTCCTCAGCCAGCAAAACTCCACAAGTCTTAAAGTTGCCAAGGTTAGAGACCCCTGTTCTATACAACATAGAAGCCACTTTTGCACAAGGCACTAAGTTTTAGGTATTCAGGTTCTCTGAATGTTTTTCTTGCGGGACCCTTGCCAATACATTAAGTTCTGAGACAACGTAGAAGGACATTTGTGTTGAAATAGGATGACCAAAAAAAGAGAAGGTATGACAGGTTCTGTTAAAAGGATTAGTCGGAAAAGATGTTCCCACGGTCCAGTTTTTTTCCTCCCCCCCTTTATTTATTTATTTATTAGTTTAATTTATATGCCGCCCTTCTCCGGAGACTCAGGGCGGCTTACAATGCTTTTAAGCAATAGCCTTCATACTTTTGTATATACCTAGCACCCATTTAACCGGCCGTGGGGGGAAAAAGCAGAGGCAGGGATCCAGAGGTGGAAGATTCGTGTTCAGGATGTCGTGAGAACCCGGCACTTTGCAGGAACCGAGAGCGTTTGCATCCTTACCTGTTGCATCCGTCTCGGAAGCTCGGGGGGCTCCGAGAGGGAGGAGAGGGTCGCTCGGCGCGCTCTCCCCGGGAGAAGCTCCGTTGGGGCGATGATGGCGCGAGGACTTGCCTGCCTTCGGCTCCCCGCTGGAAGCCTCCCCGGCGTCGCTTTTGCGCAGGATGTCCTGGATGAGAAACGAAGTCAATGGCTTGGGAGGGGGACCCACGACGGCCCCACCGCCCCCATCTGCGGGCAGAGGCAGCCGGGGAGGGCGAGCGCTGGGGGAAAGGCGCTGCTGGGCGCTCTGCATCAGCCTCGGGCGCTGCGCGTAAAAAAAGTTTGGCAAGCTGGTCCGGTGAGGTTTCCCCCAGCACGTCGGGAGGGTCGCTTATGTAGCAGGGCGGAGGGGCGGTGAGCCCTCCTCGCTGGGGATTGGTGCCTCCGGGTCCGAGGTACGCCTCGTGGGCTTCTCCACCCAACAAGCCGGGGCCCCCCCGATGACCTCCGCCGTGCGCTTCGGGCCCGGCGCGTCTCCACTTTCCCTGCCTCCTTCCTTCTTTCTTTTCTTGCGCGAGATGCTCTGCAAGGAATGGTCCTCGAGGCAGCGCTACTACCGGTAGTAGTATTTTATAAGTCAACGCACTGGCCACGTTCAGGTGCGCGCTTCTCTTCGGACTGAATGGGAAGGCCACTCCAACCTCTCGGGTGCCTACTCCAGCCTTCCCCCCAAGTGGGCGCCTTGCGGTTTATTCATTCATTCATTCATTCATTCATTCATTCATTCATTCATTTATTTATTAGTTTATTTATTTATTTATTTGTTTATTTATTTATTTTTTAAATTTTTATACCGCCCCCTCTCCCGAAGGACTCCTGGCGGTGAACAGCCCAAATTAAAAACACACAGTACAAACATTAAAATACTAGAAAACGAAATTAAATTTATCTTTGGCTTCCCCAATTTAAAACCCCTTACCCATAAAATTCCCCAATTAAAAGATTTTTAACCCAGCCCGGCTTGCTGAAATAAAAAAAGTCTTCAGTTTTGAAATAAAAAAGTCTTCAGTCTTCATAAATCAGTTTGATTTATATGCCGCCCTTCTCCGGAGACTCAGGGCGGCTTATAATGCTTTTAAGCAATAGCCTTCATACTTTTGTATATACCTGCTTAGTAGGGCTTTTGCCCCCCCCCCCTAAGCGGTGTTCTATTTTATACAAAGTCAGCTTATTGCCCCCAACAATCCGGGTCCTCATTTTACCTACCTCGAAAGGATGAAAGGATGAGTCAACCTTGAGCCTGGTGAGAATTGAACTCGCAGTAATTGCAGGCAGCTGGCAGCTAAATACTACTTTAACAGTAGTTTAGTCCACTGCACCACCGGGTTCCTGTGGGACTTCAAGATCGCGATGGGCTGGGAGGTCAGGTTACACCTATCCAGAGGTGAAAGTCTTGGGGAGGTTGCCCTGTGCTCAGGGGTCATTCAATCCAGTGGTGAAATCCACATTTTTAAAAAAACTACCAGTTCTGTGGGCGTGACTTGGTGGGCGTGGCAGGGAAGGATACTGCAAAATCCCCATTCCCACCCCACTCCAGGGGAAGGATATTGCAAAATGTCCATTCCCACCCCACTCTGGGGCCAGCCAGAGGTGGTATTTGCCGGTTCTCTGAACTACTCAAAGTTTCCGCTACTGGTTCTCCAGAACCTGTCAGAACCTGCTGGATTTCACCCCTGAGTCAGTCCTGTTGACCTCATGGGTATTCTCCGGTCCCGTTGTGGGAGCTTCATCACTTGAGACTATCAAGAAGAGATTGGACTGCCATTTTGTTGCTTGTATCCTTACAATTTATATTGATATTGTTTCCTGATTGCTTATTTGTACCCTATGACTATCATTAAGTGTTGTACCTTATGATTCTTGACGAACGTATCTTTTCTTTTATGTACACTGAGAGCGTATGCACCAAAGACAAATTCCTTGTGTGTCCAATCACCCTTGGCCAATAAAAATTCTGTTCTGTTCTGTTCTGTTCTGTTCTGCTCTGCTCTGCTCTGCTCTGCTCTGCTCTGCTCTGCTCTACTCTACTTTACCCTACCCTACCCTACCCTACCCTACTCTACTCTACTTCCATTCCATATTCTCTTCTCTTCTCTTCTCTTCTCTTCTCTTCTCTTCTCTTCTCTTCTCTTCTCTTCTCTTCTCTTCTCTTCTTTCTCTTCTCTTCTCTTCTCTCTTCTCTTCTCTTCTCTTCTCTTCTCTTCTCCTCCTCTCCCTCCTCTCCTCTCCTCTCCTCTCCTCTCCTCTCCTCTACCCTACCCTACCCTACTCAACTCTACTCTACTCTACTCTACTTCCATTCCATATTCTATTCTATTCTATTCTATTCTATTCTATTCTATTCTATTCTATTCTATTCTATTCTATTCTATTCTATTCTATTCTATTCTACTCTACTCTACTCTACTCTACTCTACCCTACCCTACCCTACCCTACCCTACCCTACTCAACTCTACTCTACTTCCATTCCATATTCTATTCTATTCTATTCTATTCTATTCTATTCTATTCTATTCTATTCTATTCTATTCTATTCTATTCTATTCTATTTGTCAGAAATGGTGTAGAGTCTCCTGCCTGAGGAGGAGGGTTGGACTAGATGACCTGCAAGATCCCTTCCAATTCTGCTCATCTGTTAAAAATCTTATCCTAGGTCTAGCTGGGCTGAGAGAAAGACCTTGATGCTTCACCTGGAGTTCAGGGTGGAATTTCCAAACCAACGGCCATAGATTTGCAACTTCTCTTGGGCTAATCACAAAAAGCATCCCATTCCTCAATCTTACATTTACCCAGATTTTTTTTTCCTGGCAGAATATCTTTGGCATTGGCCTCTAACTCAAAAATAAGAGCAGGTGCTTGCTTTTCAGATATCCTTATGTTGGGGAAAAAAAACCCTAAACCCAATGTTTTGTTTCAAGGATGCTTTTGAAAAATTCATTTTCATTTATGGTAATTATTTTTTTTAAAAATATAATTAAAAACATCTTTGCACAGCCCTTCACCTTCTGAGCCCCTCCAGATCCATCGGACTACAATGCCTATTGTCCCCATTGGCATGTCCTTCACACTGACTGAAGATGATGGGAGCTATAGTCGAGCATTGTGAACCCAACACAATGGAGAGCTTATTTTTGTGTTTCTGTAGGAAGCGGCAGTTCTACAGCGACAACTTAAGTGTTACAGCAACAAATCTGGAAGCGAGATAGATGGTATATACATGTAATAAATAAAAAAAAAAACTAGCTGCATTCTCCAAAGTTAGAATAGAATAGAGCTGGAAGGGATCTTGGAGGTCTTCTAGTCCAGCCCTCTGCTCAAGCAGGAGAACCTATACCAGTGATGGCTAACCTTTTTGCCATTGCGTGCCAGGAGGGAGGGGGCAGGGGAGGTTCATGCACATGTGTGCCCACACCCATAATTCTATGCGCGCCGCCCTGCGCAAGCATGCAAAATCCCCCCTCCCCCCGCTCCTGGCACACGATGGCCAAGTAGGCCCGTTTTTCTTTCTCACCTGGCTCCAGATCCTCTCTATGCATCTGGGGAGGGCGAAAACAGCCTTCCCTACCCTCTCCAAGGCCCTCTGGAGGTCTGAAACAGCCTATTTCCCAACTCTCTAGGAGTCTCTGAAGGCTGGGGAAAGCAAAAAATGACACTTCCTGTCCCACCGGAAGTTGGGAAATGGGCCCTTTCAGGCCTCTGGAGGGCTTTCAAGGGAGTGGGGAAGGCTGTTTTCACCCTTCCCAGATGCATAGAGAGGATCTGGAGCCAGGTGCGAAAGAAAAATGGGCCTTCCCCACCCCACCCAGGCCCTCCGGAGGCAGGAAACAGCCTGTTTCCCTACATCTGGTGGGCCCAGAAGGCCCGAAAATCAGCTGCCAGCGCACGCATATGAACCAGAGCTGAGCTGGCGTGCCCACTGATATGGCTACATGTGCCATCTGTGGCATGTGTGCCATAGGTTGGCCATCACGGACCTATACCATTTCAGATAAGTGATTGTCTGGTCTCTTCTTAAAAACCTCCAGTGATGGAGTGATTTCTTAAGGCAAGCTGTTCCATGGGTTAATTGTCCTCACTGTTAGGAAGTTTCTCCTTAATTCCAGGTTGCTTCTCTCCTTGGTTAGTTTCCAACCATTGTTTCTTGTCTTGCCTTCTGGTGCTTTGGAAAACAATTAGACCCCCTCCTCTTTGTGGCAGCCTCTCAAATACTGGAATACTGCTATCATGTCCCCCCCCCAGTCCTTTTTTTCTCTAGACTAGCCAAACCGAAATCCTGCAACCGTTCTTCAAATGTTTTGGACTCCAGGCCTCTTAGATCTTCTTAGTTGCTCCTCTCTGAACCTTATCCAAAGTCTCAATGTCTTTTTTGTAGTACGGTGACCAAAATTGGTTGCAGTTAATCTGTTGAGTACCATAGTCCAATACTGTCATCTTTATATATTTATTTTATTGTTTTTATTAAATTTTTTATGGCGACCATCTTCCCTACAACGTGATTCTTGAGCCTGTGTATATCACTGGACCGTGAGACGTCCTGTTTACTAGGTAGGACATACTTTACCACTGAGCAATAGTTCAGATTGGCACAACTTGAGGAAGGCAGATAAATGCATTTCAATTGGAAATAAGCTCCACTGATTGCAGTGTCTTTATTTCAACATTAAGATATGTCCTCGTCACTTCCTGTCTGGACTATTGTAATGCTCTCTACATGGGGCTCCTCTTGAGGAGCACTCAGAGGCTCCAACTGGCGCAGAGTGCGGCCGCGCGGGTGGTTATGGGAGCGACGTGGCGTTCCCATATAACACCTCTCCTGCGCGAGCTGCACTGGCTCCCAGTGGTCTTCCGGGTGCACTTCAAGGTTTTGGTTATCACCTTTAGAGCGCTCCATGGCTTAGGACCTGGTTATCTACGGGACCGCCTGCTACCACCAATAGCCTCCCACCAGCCAGTACGCTCCCATAGAGAGGGGCTCCTCTGGGTGCCGTCGACCAAACAATGTCAACTGGCAGCCCCCAGAGGGAGAGCCTTCTCTGTGGGGGCACCTACGATCTGGAACGAGCTCCCCCCAGAGATACGGAGGATCCCGGATCTGCGCACCTTCCGTTGCGCGCTTAAGACTTTCTTATTTCATCAAGCTGGCCTGGCCTAAATCTTCTCCCCTTTTAAATGTAAATTTTAATTTGTTTTTAAGTTATGGGGTATTTTAAATTTGTCTCAGCCAAATTATTTAATTCATTTTTATTCTATTTTAAATTTTTGTATTTATGTGTTTTATTCTGTGGCTGTTCACCGCCCTGAGTCCTTCGGGAGTAGGGCGGTATATAAATCCAATAAAAACAAACAAAACATAAAACAAGATAGAAGATGATTCTTTCTTTCTCTTTCAAAACGGGAGAATTTTTTAGATCT